ATAGGTTGGGAGAATTCAGTAAATAGAATACAAAAATTACGATGAGGACAGGCTTTGTTGGGTGGGTCATTTCAAATTCTTTTTCCTCACAATTCCTGATTGATGGTATAGTTTTTATCATACTTTGTTGCTCGTCAGCAAAACTTCTGACTCCTGGGTGTGCTTTGACTAAGGGGTTCCTATGCTGAGCTCTCATGCATCAGGCCTTTTAAAGGGCTACTACTCCCGTCCTTTTGTAGAATACCCAGATATTGTGTTTTACCATGTGCACTCTGACTCAGTGATGATTTTCGATGGCCTGTGGGTACAGAAAGACTGTGAAGGATGACCACATAACACATTGCTGCCAGTCCGTGCCCACAGCACAGCCTGCGCCCAGGGTTCTCTCCAGCCTACCCCTTACAGAGGACTTACGTATGAGCTGTAGGGAGCTCTTTTTGTCTGGTCTTTTCCTCTAAAACAAAAGCTGTTCTGAAGCTGCTTTGGGTTCTAGGTGGACGTTTGTAAAAATAGCAGCAGTCCCTATACTGGCCTCTTTCCTGAAGATAACTCAACCCTGGCTGTGGACATCTACAAAGGGGTAAGCACATTCAAGTTTGTGGTAGATGCTCCTGAGTCAGTCTTCTTGGCACGTTATCTGGTCCTCTGTGAATTTACTTCAGATTTGACTATCTCTGAAGGATGAATTATGTCAGAGGTCCAGAAGCTAGCCAATCATTTTTTGTTGTGTGGAATAGAGAATCAGTTGAAAGATAGATTGTAAGCTGGGAATTTGGAAACTCTTGGTGACAGTATATATTTTTACAGGGTGTTAATTGTAATGTCTGAACAAAATATTCCTAGTGTTCTTTACTAAGGTCTCTCAGTCTCCTTTTGCTGGTTACATTGTGAGTCAACAAGAGCAGAATACATGCATGTACTACACAGCCTTTCCCAGATTTATTTATTTGACCTTTTGCTGCCTTGTTGCCACTTCCTATAAGTGTGTTAAGGGGTAGATTTTGGGAACTATGATATAGACTTCTGTTTTTTCAGTATTAAGATGGGGGTTGGAGATAAACCATTAAGAGCCTGGGAAAGAAAATAGACTAGGCTGAGGAACGAGGGCACATCCAGCAACACTGAGATTGAAACCTGCTAAAATTAGATCAAGACCTCAGCCTGGTGTGTGGGACAGTGCCCAGCACGTCCTTGGAATAGGTGGTGTTCATCAAAGGGGAAGTAGATGTGCCTCACAGAAAGGCTGTTTTAAGTGTTACCTAAACAGATCACTGACACAAGCACATCTTTCTCCCTTGCCTTTCCCAGGGTGTTGTGCTGGGCTGTTACTTTGGGCCTGCCACACTCTACATCTGGGCAGTGGGCATCCTGGCTGCAGGACAGAGCTCCACTATGACAGGAACCTATTCTGGCCAGTTTGTCATGGAGGTAGGTGCTTGTTGTCAGGTGGAAGGAGATGACACAGTTCTCCCTTATTTCTCAGTCTCATGCTTGTAAGGTCTCTATTTGAACCTCTCCAGCCCCTTGTCTTTACCTGCTACCGAGATTCATCCTGATTCCGTGTTTCCTTCCAGGGATTCCTGAACCTAAGATGGTCACGTTTTGCCCGAGTGATTCTGACTCGCTCTATCGCCATCATCCCCTCTCTGCTTGTTGCTGTCTTCCAAGATGTAGAGCATTTAACAGGGATGAACGACTTCTTAAATGTTCTCCAGAGCTTGCAGGTGAGTAGGGAGCAAGGGAAATTCCTGTCCCATTCAGTCAGGCAGCTTAAGTTCTGCCCATTGGTGCCAAGCGTGGTTGGTGCTGGGGGTTGGGGAAAATTAAGAGGATGAAAAAGGAACAAGAGGTCTCAGTCTACAATGAATGTACATGAAATCCCTAGCATCTGAAAGGTAGTCAGGAGTGGGTCAGGTTTTTAAACCTGCTGAATGGGAAGTATGGGCTAAACTTACACATAGAACTCAAAATTATAGTTCATATATCCAGCAAGCATTAAATGAACTATAGAATACTCTGCTAGGTCCTATGGAGATTTAAGAGGACAAGCTACATCCTATTTATAAAGACAAAAAGAACTTATGATCATCCTTGATACTAATGACGCTCCACAGATTTCATCATAATATTTGAGCACGTCAGGGGGAGAAGAATAATTATGTCTCGAGTTAGGCAGGGTTTATGCTTTAGTTTTGCCACCTGTACCGATCTCTGTGGTGATGCGCAGGGGCCCTCTAGTGGCCCCATCTGATCTTGCTTCTTTCTTTTCCAGCTTCCCTTTGCTCTCATACCCATCCTCACATTCACGAGCTTGCGGCCAGTCATGAGTGACTTTTCCAATGGAATGTGAGTATATTCGTCCTAGTTCTCCAGGGGGAGCTGCGATGGGGGAGGGTATTTTTACCCAATAGAACAGTTGAAAGTGAGTCATAGGGGAACTGTGCACTTTGTGAGGTGATTGCTGGCTGCTTCCTCTTTGGCCTAGGAGATGGAGATGGTGAATGAGGTAAAGGTGGAAGAAGCACATTTTTATGTTTGTTTGTTTGGTTGGTTTTTTGAGACAGGGTCTCACTATGTAGTTGAGACTGACCTGGAACTCACTATGTAGCCCAGGCTGGTCTTGAACTCACAGCGATCCTCCTGCCTCAGCCCCCTGAGTGCTGGGATTACAGGCGTGCACCACCATGCCCGCTGAAGAAGCACATTTTTAATTTCAGTTTTGAGAGCTTTAACTTTCCAATTTAAGACATTGAAATTTTATGTTAAATTATTTTAATGAGAAAGATAAAAGCTAACGCATTTTATGTATACCATGAAGGGATATGCAGTATTTGAAATTACTTATTACATTTCAGTGACTAATAAAATGACTCACTGTATTTCTAGCACTTGTTGCTTTTCTGGTATCTTAAATTTAGAGATTATTTGATACATGTTTTCGTCCTTCTTCCTACCAGTGTCTGGCTTTTCCAGTTTGAGCTTCATCTGACATATAGTGAGAACCATTTTTCAGTTCGTTTGCAACTGTCCATGAGATACAGTTTGGGTTTTTTTGTGATCAGGTTGGACTAGTCTCTCAGTGACTGTGCTGATTCTCTTACAGAGGCTGGAGGATTGCAGGTGGGCTCTTGGTCCTTATCGTCTGTTCAATCAACATGTACTTTGTAATAGTGTATGTCCAGGAACTAGGACATGTGGCACTGTATGTGGTGGCTGCTGTCGTCAGTGTGGCTTATCTGAGCTTTGTGTTCTACCTGGTAAGTCTAGTGTGGGTGGACAGGGCTACCGGTGTCTGGGATGGTACAGGTGGGGCCGACTGACTTTCACAGATGAATGAACCCCAAAGTGCACATAGCAGTCTATGTGGAACTGTCAAAGCAGCTGTTTACACGTCTAACCAAAATAGTTACTCTGTTTCCTGAGATCTGGCAGTTTTCTACTTCTGTCACTTGTCCATGGTTTTCATTTTTGCTTTTTAATAAGAGTATGATATGTTTGAAGAACCAAAGAAGGTAGCAACATGGAGAATGGTGCAGTGTTAGGAAAGGGAACTGTGCATTGTGCTTCGGAGTTTTGCAGTAGAATACAGGTAGGCTCACAGCCTGCTTTAATGTACTGTCTCAGGAAATAAGTAAATGGTGATACCTCCTCATTGGATTATTTTAGAGTCATTCTAAAAACCCAGCTTATAAAAGCACATCTACATAGAAATGAAATGCAAATTATTTGTGCCTATATTTGTACTAAATAAGTCTGTAAGTCTAAAGTAAATTATGTAAAAATGATAATAGTAGTTATTTTCAGAAAGTGAAATTGTAGATAGACTCTTCTTTATTTTCCAGATATTCTTCAACATTGCTAATATTAGTGACAAATACTCTACCTCCTGATTCTGTATAGGGTCCTCTGGGAAGTACGAAGTCGGGGATAAGGAACTACAAAATTTCTGCTATTTCTGCTAAGAGAATGGTTAAAGGCAGAGGCTAGAAATCTGTTGTTGATCCCTAGGAAACTTACCTAGTCCCCCTGTCAGTGTCTACCACAGGTTAGGTATCAAATAGAAAATGTGTGTTTGGGATTGGTATTTCCGTTTCCTTCCCAGTAAACCTCAAGTATACAAAGATTTTACTGACTCTTCAGGCCTAGGAAAACCAAGTAACTAAATATGTTGTTAATAGGAATTGTTTTAAAAGTTAGTTTAAGCGTCAGTATGTAACACAGGTTCTGCATTCAATTCCTAGCTAGCTAAATAATGCATGTATGTATGTATATATGTGTGTATGTATAATAAAAAAAAGAAAATCAGCTTAGAAATCTGGAGAATTCTCCCTTCTTGCAAATTGCTCATAAAGGTGCCAAATTGTCCTTAGTGATTCTCAGACTAATGAGAGTCATTGTCCCAATTTGATAGGTGAGGGCTTACTCTATCTATAGTGGGTTATTCCTTTTTAGCTCCAAAACATTTCACAGAACAACTTCAGAGACTGTATCAGTCGCTTTGGTCTGACAGTCTTTCTCCCCATTCCTTATAATGGGAAATCGGGGGAAGGAAAGCGGTCAGTCAGGAAATCCCCAGTTGGACAAAAGAACCTGTAAACCCTGCTAGGGATTTGGCTCAGTGGTTCCATCGCCTGCATCCCAAGCACAAGGTCCTGAGTTTGATCCCTGTACCAAAAAAAACAAAACAAACAAGAATGTATAAACCCAAAGCAATAGAAACAAAGAGCACTCAGTATGGAAAACAGCATAGGAATGCTTTATTGAGGACAGCAGGATGTTTTGAAGGGTCAGTGAGGTTGGGAGCATGTCTTGGGCAACCTTGGTGGTGAAATAAGGCTGGCAAAGCTGGTTGTGTAAGGAAGGGGACAGGTTAGCATCTGAGCCATGCTGTGAGTGCTCACTGTGGGTGACAGGCTCTTCGCAGAGCTCAGAAACTGATGACCGTGTTTTCTCTTCCAGGGCTGGCAATGTTTGATTGCACTGGGCTTGTCCTTCCTGGACTGTGGGCACACGGTAAGCATCTCTAAAGTCCTGCTGACGGAAGAAGCCACTGGTGGCTACACTAAGTAAACACTGGTGCCGCCTCTCAGCTGCAGGTAGCCATCAGAGCCAGTGTGTTTCTATGGTTTACTGTGTGAACATAGCTACAAGTATGTGCCGTTGCACACACTGCATTTATGACTCAGCTGCTGGTTGGGAAGGACTTTGTTTCATGTCTGTTTAAACAATGGAGATGATTTTGTTTTTTTCCTCTGACCTCCAAAGCTGGTCTGTGTGAACATAGCTACAAGTATGTGCCGTTGCACAGACTGCATTTATGACTCAACTGCTGGTTGGGAAGGACTTTGTTTCATGTCTGTTTAAACAATGGAGATAATTTTGTTTTTTTCCCCTGACCTCCAAAGCTGAGAAGGATCTTTGAAAAGCTGACATTTGCTGCTGTCATTCCAACACTAAATGCTTAAACGCTACCAAAGAGAGTATTCCCTATGCATGATTCTTAGCCAGACAGTATGATTTTTTAAAACTGGAAAATGCAATACTCTTTTCATAATAGAAGTTATAGACATGGTAATTACAAGTATGTAAGTTTTAATTGCAAAACAATAGATTTTAAAAGGCTGAAAAATAAATGAAAAGATAAGCATGAAATTATTTTTTAAAATCTTACAGTGGTTTTATCATATGAAATATAATATTAAGAGATAGCTACCTCAATCAGGATTCTTTTACCTCATTTCCACTTTACACTTCTCAAAGGAAATTCAGAGAGGAGAGAAAGCATAATGAAGTTATAAAAATGGACAAATGGCAAAATTCACCTGTAGGGAGTGGTGACTAATCACCTCCCAAAGACTTTCCTTCTGCGGCTTACTAGGATTTTCTTGGAAATCCTGAGGTTTATAAATTGTTAGGGGACTTTTGTGGTGGTGTGTATTCTTAAGCAAATTCGCTGCAGACAGTTCACCTCCAAGAGGGAGGTTAACGATAGCAAAACACGATAGTATTTATGAACCAGTATCCTCACAAGACTTTGGGTTTGGGGAGTGAAGAAAAGGGGATGAAGAGGCATCTGTTTTATTCCTATAAACCACCTCTTGTCAAAATCATGTTTTGTTTTTTTGTTACCGGGGATCAAAATCGGGACCTTGTGCTTGTGAGGCAGGCAGAAGAACCACTGAGCTAAATCCCCGGCCCAAAATCATGTGCTGTGTTGCACCACTCTGCTTCATGCCTGGAGTGATTTGCCAAGTAATCTTAGTTGTGAACCTAACCCTACAAAGATGTAATCTCTCTCAGTAAGTCATTAAGTGTCATTGAGAGTGAAAGTTGCCTGTTAGCAAGGTGAACTAGGCTACCTCTACACAGCTGTCCCCTCAGAGGGGTAGACTGTGAGGCCAGGTGGTGACACTCTGGAGTCAGAGGAAGTGGGTGTCTTCAGCAGGGAGCTGCTGCTCTTACTCCAGCCACTTCTGACATTTGTATATGTGGAGTGTGAGGCTGTGTGATTCTCTCAACCGAAATCACATTCATCTGGTGTAGATAAATAATCAAAAGTCTTGAATAGCCATTGTCTTGGTGAGAACAGTCATGGGAATGGCACCAAAGGACTTACCGTTTTTGGAACTTGCCTTGTCATGTCCTGGTTCACTAATGTGCTTTCCTCATCTGAGTCCCAGCGGCATTTTTTTGTTTTGTTTTGTTTGTTTTTTGAGACAGGGTCTCACTATGTAGTTGAGACTGACCTGTAACTCATTATGAAGCCCAGGCTGGTCTCGGACTCACAGCAATTCTCCTGCCTCAGCCTCCTGAGTGCTGGGATTACAGGAATGCACCACCACACCCGGCCCAGCGGCATTATTGCTGATATTTTGCACATAGTCATAAGTGCAGACTGAATAGATTGTGTTTTATAAAGCATTAATGGTAAATTGTTCATCACTGACCATACATTTTTCTTAGCTCCTCAGTAGTACCTCACTAAATCACAGATCATAGCTCCCCTAACTATTCCTCCTACCTACCCTTCTCCTGTTTGACCATTGTTCACTAAACTGGTCATAAGCACACTCTGGAAGTATTAAAGACCAACGTCTTAAGATTTTATCCACCTGTGATAGTTAAGGGCCAGATGTATCCCCCACCAAATCCCTTGTAAAGATGGTTTGGTAACATTTACCTTTATCCTGGGTCTGGGTGGGTCTAGTGTGTCTCAGATCCACAGACAGTTCAAGTAAAACCTGCTACTACTCTTTTAGAAGTAGTATATTTGACTTATAATGATGGAAAAAGTTTCTTCCCAAGCAAATGGAATTTCCCAAGGAGTATATTATTTTACAGTGTGACTAATACTTCTGTATGGTCTTTACAGTGAGAATGTGTACATCAGACAGTGCTCTGAGTACAAAAAACAACCTGTAGACATTTAAGTCTTCCAGTGCCAGCATGTGCAGTGCGTTTTGGCCTATGTATGTATGTAATGTCTAACAGTGTACAGTTGTATTTTTGTAAATTGATCCTTGTTCTCCTAAATGTGCTGTGTAATTTTTTATTAGTACATGTGTGCAGTACGTAATGATCACATTCATCATGGGGAGTTGGCATGTACATAACTCATCTCCAAATGTGACGTGTAATAATTGCACTGCTGCTGGAAATTAAAGGTGGGGTGGGGAAGAGCTTCAGTTTGGCTCCTGTGAGGTCCTGCTCTAGGGGGGTCAGGAATGGTTACAGTTGAGCTTTTTAGTGACTGTTTTAATATGTACACTTAATATGTAATTAAAAATTTTTTCCAATTTGGTTTTGTGGTTTATTTTTTGAAAGCTTGAAAATACTTTATTAATAAAGTCTCAACTTTGATACTGAAATGCCAAAATTTTGGTCACCGTCTAAAATCACACATTAAGTCTTACACAGTTAGTGCCTCCATCCTCTGAAAGACAGAAATAAATGTGTTTCGTCCTTAGAAAGCTTGGGGTAGGAGGAGTCACCAAGACAGTAATTTCTGTTACACACGTTTATAGTTTTGCTGTAGCTAAAGGTCATATCATTGCCATATTTAAACTTGAAATTTTATCCTACCTTTCTCTCCCATAAGCTGGGTATTTGTCTACCTGTAATATTGTTTCACCATTCAAACAGACTTTTACATTCTTTATTTGTTGCCAATAAATATTAAAGAGAGGAACCAAAATATCTCAGATTAAAAACAAATGGGAATATTGGCACACTGTATTAAAAAGAAAGGCAAAGCTCAAGCACAGTAAACTACCCAGCCCTGTCACACACAGGACAGGAAAATTTAGGCATTTGATTTTTCCCAAGAGTATCACAAGAACTTCATTTTACCTTTTTGTTGCAAGCTTTACTTGCCTCTCTCAGGAGCTGAGTCGTTTAATCCTGTAGTTCTCTATGTTGGCTTCATTTACCTGTCCTTATTTCTAGTTTAATTTTACAACTAAAGTAGAATACAAAACAGTTTGAAGAGCCTTACTTGAAACATTTAACTGCCTTTTGCAAGGCCTTCTGCTCCTAGATGGATAGAGCTAATGAATCTCAGGATATCAGCACCTCCTAACACCTCAGCTTATGAATGTAAGAATGGCTAACTTATTACTGTATGCAAGTTGTGGTCTGAGCACTTGTGTGATCTCATTCAGTCCTCATAACAAGAGGCTCAGCCTCTATGGATGAGGCAGCTCAAAGGCCAAAAGTAACTCACCCTCAATGCACTGCTAGTAAATGGGCATTTGGCGTATGAACCTGAGCAGCTTCTTGCCAGGGCCCAGTGTCCGTTCCCGAGCCATCCTGTACAATACATTACACACCCTTTGTGCTGGGTAAGACGCCCATAGCGACACCAGCAAGACCAACATCAAACCATTTCCTGGCACTTTCATTTAGTGTTACAATGTGTTTTCGCTCAGAAGTTGCCAGCTGTAGACACTGTCTGGCCTGGACTAGATTTTTTAAGTTTTGATGCTTTTGCCAGGCTTAGAAAGTGGGGAGAATCCTCTACGGTTCTACCCTGGCAATAGCTGAGAAGTAAGAGTGGGTTTACTCATTTGCATTATCCCTTTACCCCTAAAAATATTTTAGCCTGTTGTGTGCCAGTTAGTCCCATTTCTTAATGTCTCAGAATCACGACAAACTTTCCCAGTGAGGGAGTTCTACCAAGACACCTTAAGTGATGCACTGTGTGGGCACTGTGGAACTAGTAATGTAAGCCCTTTGCTCTGTAATTAGGAGGAAATGTTTATCTTTGCTCACTTGTGAATGGCTTCAATGAATTGTCAGTGTGTCTGACAGTTACTATTAGTCACTAAATCCTGCAATTTAAGACCCTAAATGTAGAAGCAAGTTGGTCTCTTCTGAAGAGCTGTTTCCCTGCCTTAAAGCCAGTGTCAATATCTTCCCTGCCCACCTGGGGGTGGTTTGGTCCTGGGCACCTTCTGATCTGTTCACTTCACCCAGTCAACACAACATTCCATAGGGTTAAACAGCAACTTGTTATGTGTTAAAATATATTGGAAACTTAACATGAGAGTATATTTGTGTCCATGGTATTTTCAAATGTAACAATTATTCCCATTTTACACTTAAATGGAGTAAGCTTCTAAAAGGACAAGTCATAGGAAGGAATAAAGTCAAGCCCAACTACATGCCTTTTCCATTACACTGTAGTAGGACTAGTTCTTTTTATAGATTGATTTTCTGCATCAATTATAGGCTGATGGTATCTAGGTGCAATAATGTGCCTGAGCCCTAAGTAATAACAAGGGCTAAAATGAGAATCAGTGGTGGTTCCAAGTTGTATTCAAGGGAGAGGAAAGAATAAAACACAACTTCATAAGTCCCAATGTCAACCACCTGAATTCAGTTTTTTAGGAGTGGGGTATGGAAATGGGTTTTACAAGCACATGAGGTGATTTTGAAACATGGCAGCAAATACTTGAGACCCACAGGTGGGTCATCTCAGCACATTTTTTTGTTTCTTTAGTGAAGTTTTTTTCTTTTCGGGTGCCAATGGGACCAGGATTACAAGGATCAGAGTTTAGAGCATTTAAAGTACACAGTCCTAAAATACAAAAGCACTCAGTACATGTTTGCCCATGTTATCCTGACCTGAAGTCCCATCCTGAAACCAGTGCCCAAGAATAGTCTGACAGCTAATTTTACTGAGGGCAGTTGACAGAATTTCAACCCTTACCTATCTCAGTTCCTATTGTGTTATTAATTTTATTTTAGGGCTGCGGATTTAGCTCAGTGGTTCTGACACCTGCCTTGCAAGAGCAAGGATCTGAGTTCAATCCCCGGTACCAAAGTAAAAAAAAAACAATATTTCACTTAACATTATAGGCCGGGCGTGGTGGCACATGCCTGTAATCCCAGCACTCGGGAGGCTGAGGCAGGAGGATCACTGTGAGTTTGAAACACGCCTGGTCTACACAGTTCCAGGTCAGTCTCAACTACATCTGTCTCAAAAAAAAAAAAAAAAAAATTTTTTTTTAAAAATTTGAGACGGTCTTGCAAGGTAGTGTAACTAGTCTTAAACTACCCTCAAATTCTTGGTGATCCTCCTTCCTCAGCTTCCCAAGTGCTGAAATCAGAGGCGTGTGCCACCACACCTAGCTGTCAGCTCCTAGTTTAAACATTAGAGACCAAGTATCTCTAAGCCAACACTTTTCTGATGTAAAAACAGCAATACTGAAAATAGCCTAAGTTTGCTACTTACAGGTGTTTGAAATGTCCATTTCAGTATTTACCTACCTGAAAATCAGTCTAACTCTCTTCCATCTTTTTGCCCTCAGTATCACCTGGGATTGACAGCTCGGCCTGAACTCTACCTTCTCAACACTGTGGATGCTGACCACCTGCATCTAAATGACTAACAGCCTGAACTGCTTTGTCTGTGCCCTCTGTGCTACGTGTGTGTTAGCATCTCTGTTAGTTCAGAGGTGAGTTTTTGTTCAAGCACTTTGAACAAAAGGTGAAGATTTCCTCGTGGGAATTGTTACAAGCTGAGAGCTCAAAGTGTAGGTCAGAGACCCACCTACCTCACAACAGCCACTACCATAGCCAAAGTTAAACGATTGGCCATACATCCTGTGGGCTGTGTCTTGTCTTCTAAGATTTAGAAGATGTAGATTTATTTAGGTAAATCTGAGCATATCCGTTAGATGGGATTTTAAGATTATCTAAAAGTGATAGAGCTTTTGTATTTTTTTTAATTGTTCCGATCAATCAGGTAGTCGTTTTGTTTGACTCACAGGTGAGGAAAGAAAGGGAATAATGCTCTTTTTCGTCGTGAACTGGTCAAATGGATTGTCTTTTAAACTGATTCTTTACTATGCCAGTCAAATTTCAC